AAATAAGTTTATGAAATATATATAGAGTAATCTTTGTTGGTTGTGGATTAAAAAACGATAAAAAAATAACACCTACGTCTAGAAGTTAAATTTGAATTTAGAGCGATGTTTTGAATTAAATTTTTAATCCCAATTTTTAAACGAATTTCTTCTTCTTTAAAAAAGGACACAGAGAAAACGAAACATCGCTCTGTTGCCAGCCTCTTCACACAGGAGCAAAGATCAATTGAGGCCGCATCCATGATTAGCTTGCGTGGGCGTGTAGCCGCTGAGACTTTTTTGACTCGCTCCGCCGCATGAGCTGCCGTGTGGGTGGAAGGCGAGAAGGAAACCACCACAGCCGCTGAACTGACTCACGCACGTGGAGGCGCCTCTATTTTATCCCTGTGCGATGGCGTCGTGCGAAAAGAAGATGAGTCGGTCACGTGCGTGTGTCACCCTCCTATAGCTCGCAAATATTTCCGCTCAAGCTAAGAGACGCATAAAAAAGTGACGGAAGTTTTTACGTCAATTGCCAGATTAAATCTTACTCGTAAAACGTTACATACCGTTAATTTTACAACTTTTGAATATAAACAAACAAAAACAGGCGCATAATATAAATTGAAATATCTAGTTTTTATTAAAATTATTAATAATTAATAATCAAACTGAAAAATTCAAATAAAATGTGGCTGATTTTTTAAATTAATTCATTTTAGAATTAATTTGGTTAATGCTGCTTAAAAAAGTTTGTAATGAATTGTGTAAATAAATAAAAACAACTTGTATTTTCTGTTAAGTAAACTAATCATTCACTTGAATTTAGATTTGGCAATCACGACACGCATGCCAAGAGAGAAATTATCATTGGAGAGCGAAAATGAAGTTAATCATGCATGGCACTGATTGGTGAAAAGTGAAGGTTTCGTCAGTGCATCTCAAATTAGCCTGCAGCAGCAGAAGCGAGAAAGCTCCGGTGCTGCTTTTTTCGCCCGACAGAGAGAAAGAGCTGCGACGCAAAGAGTGGAGTGCTGCTTGTGACGACCCTCGGCGCGCTGGCGAGAAGGGGTTGGGAATTATAAGTTGATGATGTTAACCTTTGGTATAAGAGCAGCTGCCGAGAATGTCAACACTCAATCACAGCTCCCAGCAGCCGCCTTGCACACAGGAAATTATCTGCGTCTCGCCACATGCATTTGGTCAAGCTGGCCGCACACGCCCAGACTAACTCGATTATTTTTCCACCATCGAATTGACGGCCGACCCCTCCATCCGAGCATCAATAAATGAATTGAATTTGTGGTCCTTTTGATTAATTTATAATTAAGAGATTAAAATTCAAATTTATCATTAATATAAATCAGAATTAATCAGGCCTTCAATTTAATTTTTAATTAACGAGGAATCGTCAAATTTATAATTTAATAAAAAATAATCAAATTTTTTAATGATAATTGAGTATTGATAATTTTTTTTTGTACATTTTATTGCATATTTAGATCTATTAAAATCAAACTGATTAATTCTAATTCATATTTTACTTATCAAATGACCAATATTTAAGTTGAATTTTTGTTTTTAATATTAAAATAGAAAGTTTGAAGAAATTAATATTTCTACTTTTTCATTACATTTTGGAGCAAAACAATATAATCTTTTGAAATGTTGTTGAAACAGAAAATAAAATAAATGCAGGAAAAAAGTGCAAATTATTTGCAATTGCAAAACTGTTGCACGCTGCATTACATTCCATAAGTGCAGCCGTAATGGCAGCATCATTATAATCATGCGACACACCTAAGGCGAGAAACATCGCGAGCGCGACTGCCTCTTTTTGCAATAAAATTCTGCGCATCATATTTGCAAACATCAGAGCTGGCTGCTGGCTATAAGGGGGCTGCTGGTGGATGCCATTTATTGATCTGCCGCTGCCGCTGAGATGAGAACAGCCAGCCTCCCTTTGCTCCTTTCAAACGGCATCAGCCACACCCTGCACCGTTGCCGCCCAAAACTTTCGTGCAATCGCCTAATTAGGAACGCCCTCGCAGAATATATATGCAACCCTTTGTTTCGTGCACTGGGATGCAGGCGACCAGAGCAGAGGAGTCCTTCGAACGGACCATTTGTTGCATTCACGAGCGGCAACGTCGGGGCGGCGAGGGGGAAATTCAATTACAAAAGTCGGCGAGACGCTGGCGCAAGCTAGATTTTCAAATAACCTGCACCAAGTTTAAATATATCAAGCACACGCACCAGACAGCAAGGGGGTGGTCTGTGTCATTATGGGGGCCATAAATTAACCAAACTGGCACACAAAAGCGGGCTGATTCACGTTTTATTGGTCTGAGGGTCAACTCGAATGGCGAAATTAGTCCCCTCGGAGAGACAACAATAAAATAAACCATCAAAATACAAATGCAAATTTGTGAATTATTGTTCGGTAGGGCAGGTGGCAGCAATCAGTTTAGCTTTAAAATAATTTAGAGACACCCATTCAAACTACTTTTTCATTTTGTATTCGAGACCCCTGCAATTTTTAATTTTTTTCCTCCACAAGATAATTTAAGCAATCCGAACTGAATGGGGGACCAACTGAATGCTCAGCACACGAAGGGGAAGATGAATTTTAAAAGAATCTTCCACAATTGCTGCCCTCGTTTCGTTTTCAGCCGCCGCAAACTTTAATGGGATGCATCAGCGAAAAAAGCGGAGAGAGAGATAAAAGGCGTCAACGAGACGACGTTGATGCTCTCCCTGCCCATATTATGAATCTCTTTGGCGTTACCCTTTCTGCAAATATACACGCGCAAATGCTGCTCTTTTCCATATGAAAGGGCGGCGTGCTTGGTGCTGCTGCTTTGGTCAGGTCGATATACGAATATGCGACGTGAAAGCCAGCAGCAGTTCGTTGTTTTCCCAGAGCGTGCCTGTGTTGTTGCTGCACTGAATTGCTTGGGAAAATTGCGCTCTATTACTTTGGGCTCGCCGATGAATTTCATTTTCTGCCACAACGCACGCAATCACACGTCATTTTTCGCCTGTCGTGAATGATCAATACATATTTTTCTTTTAAATTCAATTTTTTTTCTTTTTTAATTAAAATTATTAATTCAAGTCGATATTTCAAAGCGTCGTGTCAGCTTTCTGAATGGTCACATAATATTCAATTCACTGTGCTGGGGTTCAGCTTTCACAAGAGGCTTGTGGGAACTTGGTTGTGGATTCTCATTCTCATCAGCAGAGTTCATAAGCCGTATCCCAGCGTGTATCCTTGAGCAGTGGCGGGATAGAAAAACAAACAACTACTAATTCTATTTTAATATTTAAATTCCTCGCCGTCTTGTACTCTGAACGAGCTTATTGAATTATGCAGCGAGTTAGCTCTCAGTCATTAACCGTTTTTAATTCACCCTTTGCATCAAACAAACAAGCATGCATGCCATAAAAATAATAAACAACGGTTCCAGCATTGAATTCCATAAAAAAAAAAATTATCAGCACGCACACGAGCTGCTCTGGACTCTTGAAAATATAAAATAGTTTGAGCTGCATTCTACTTTTGTTTATAAATTTGTCTGATAAGCAGTATAAATGAAGACAGCAGAGGAGCATCGAGCATAATTTTGCACGCGCCTGTACGGCCGTCTCATCTTCCATTTTTAATACTGGCACCAATATAATATGGCAGCAATAATCATAACTCTTGGAGTGAGTGCCCGGTGCTATTTTTTCTCTTAGGGGTCATCGCTTTTCATTATGCTCCACGGACATGCTTTCCTGCACAGCATTTTCGTGCGCAGTGCTCATAAAATGCCACTTCCAATTGAGGGTCAAAGCAGTCGGTGTTGATGGGCAATAAAAAATATTTGAGGGAGATTAATCAGAAACAGTAAAAAATGAGCACTTCCAAATAAAAATAAGAGTGCAGTATAAATGTTGACCACTTGAGAAATAATAAAATATTCCAATTAAAAATCTTTAAATAAAATTTTCGCCCCTACTGTCTTTTTAATGTGAAGAAAGCTTTATAATTTGCCCAAATTTGACGTCACTCCCTGGATTTTTATTTAAAGCTTCACTGTGCCAGTGGTGCGCTCGAATTCAACCCAATTCCCAACTAAGTGCCCACGTAGCTCAAAGAGCATCACTAGGGACGCTCTACAGGCTCACATCATACAAATGGCAATTATCTCACAGCCCATGCCCTCTTTCTCTTTTCAAGTTCAGTGTATGGGGGAGGCTTGACAAAAGCAGACAGAAATCTGGAGCGACTACATTCCACTGCTTTATGCATCCCCCATCAGCCTTGACCAAGGCTGAGTGCAACTCGAGTAATTTATGAAAATTTCCATCCCTTGCCACAGGGATTGGCGATAAAAGCAATTCAGCTCTAGGAGAAAACGGGATTATCGCGGGGCGCAGTCCCAAGGTCTTTCTCCTTGCTGCAGACACGCATAAAAACGTCCCCTAGCACTATTGGATGACTCAAGATTTATACGCAAGATCAAGAACAGGGGGTGGTTCTTTTATTTATTGCACTTCTGGGGGTAAACAGCAGCAGTTCAGACGCACAGAGGGAAGTGTGGCGCAGCACCTGCATTTCTCCACCACAATGGATAGAAAAAAGCTGTCTTCCCCTCATAACTATTTTCAGTTGTAAATTAGGCAGCAACTTAGTTTCTCTAAAAACATACGTTTAGGGAAAAAAGGAAAATACAGTTTTCTGAAGAAAAAAATAGATAATTGCGTGTGTTAGAAAACCGCTACTATAATTAGAGTAATTATAATTAAGTGCCAAACAGGCCAACTTTGGGCGTGAATGCAAAAACCTTGAAATTTTTTTATACAGCTTGTTCTTAGAAACCGTCTTAGAATTATTTTTCGCTCTATTGTGGCGAGCTTTTTATTGCGGTTAATTAAGAAAAACAAATGGAAACACACTAAATTAACCCACCACACCCCAAATAACGTTTTTTGGTTGAAATTTTTCAGTGAAATTTTAATTTCAGGGGTCCTACCTGGAAAGACGTCCCGCATCTCGGGACTCCCCTTGATCCACCCATTTCTTTGCTGGATGATGCACTGGAACATTTTGCCGGCGCCGCAGTGCCTCCCGGGAAAATGAAACTGGGTGCAAAGAGGCAAAAAATTGTTCCTCACTCCTCTCACATCGGTCCCGATTCAAAATCGGTTTGTTGAATTACAGTGTAATGCACTTCACGCCCGGCCGCGACCACGATCGACTCGCTTGCTTTCGAGGCCTCGGCATAAACTAACGGTGGACCTTCTCAGCATCACCGCCAGACCCTGGCATTGGAAACATCGCCGCCGCCACACCAACTGCACGCCCGCCATAATATCGTAGCGGAGAATCAACGAAATTTGTTCGCTCGCAGCCGGCGCGGCGCTCGCGCCGATTCCGATTGCTTTCAATTCTATTTCAAAGGCCCTTTTGTGAGCCGCGAATTCCGATTGCATCTATAATGCAGGACCAGACTGGGAGAGGCACTTGGGCTTAGTTTTTCAACAGATTTTTTATACCCCTCTCCGTTTTGTTAGATTCACGATCGCTCGTTTTCACACTTTTGTTTTTAAAACTGATTGAAAATCCCTTTATTCGAAGCACGTTTACATTAATTAAATGCGACGTTGATGCTATTTTTAACTTTTTTTGGCACATCAAAATGAATTTACAATTATATGGTGGCTTAAATTTTATATCTTTATGGACGCACAACCTTCACACTGCCTCTGACCAACCAAATCATAAAGTTGTTATGTTAAGGAAAAAGTTTAATAATTCTAATGGTTTCAGAACTTATATACCCAAGCTCAACATACATTAAAACAAATTTAATGGTTTATTGTGTTGCAACAAACTTCTATAAAATATTAAAAATTATATCACTTAAATTTTTTTAAATGATTTATTTTCTTAGGATAAATGTTTAAAAATTTGGTGCCCACTTTTGCTTTTTTATATCTTCAAACCCTTCTAAAAGATTGGAAACGCAAGTTAACATTCTTTTTTTTTAATTCGTAAAGGTTAATTAATGAAAATTTTTAGAATTTCATACAACATGTACTTGAAGCAAACCAGAAGAATGAGTTTTATTTCGTTTAAAAATTGTCGGTTTTGTGATTGATAGACCTCACTCCTGTTTTTTTCTGGCTTCTTAAAATAATATATATATGCATAAATAAGTGCTGCAGCCTCTCAAAAGTTAACATGGGGATTAAGACAGAGAAATTCCTCACGTTTGTTTTATGGTTTAAATTACTTGCGGGACTCGTCCAACCTTTTTTGCACTTAAGAGATTTTATAGCAAACTGTAGAGTTCAATGTCACCAGTAAAAAGCTGCATAAAAATTCTTAATGTTCTCAGATTGCAGAATAATTTTCCTTAGGGTTGATGACAGATCACATCAAAAATATATAATTGAGCAACAACCGCGTTAATTTACAATCTAAAAATATTTTTTCAATCTACTAACGAGGACTTATTTGGAATCGCAGTTGGTTTGATGCACGTTTACTTAATCACGACTTGGCCACTTTTCTCTTGACATTCACTTAACGCGGCTATTTGGTTTCAACTTTCAAGATAAACCTTTTATTGAATTTATAAACATGAGCACATCAATTCAAGAGCCGGTTGACGTTGCAGTAATTGATTACACGCTCCTGATTTGCATATTTGGAAGTTAAACCAAGCGCTTGATTTCATCTCCCATGTGCGACTTCAATCACATGCCGAATTCAGATTTTTCAATGATGGATGGAAGGAACAGCGATGCTCCATCGATCTTTCTTGGTTGCTTCAAATGAAGCAGTACATATGTACAAGTCTGAGTCATCTTTTTTGCTTATGTACTTCTGAAAGCTCCCTATATATATATAGGGGGACTTGCTGATTGATACCCACATCGCGGCTGCAACTGGAGGGTGTTCATTGGGTAGCCAATACAAATAAATAATAACATTATTGCGGCTCTCTTATATTAGTAAAAAAAAATGCAGCTGTGCTTTCAGTCAACGCGCTTTGCTCATTTCCATCGCTATTTTTGCTTGATTTAATTTGTTTACAAATCTTCAAATTTCTAGTTATGTTGCAATATTAGCGTATTCTCAATTTGTAATATTTATGCCATTAAAAATTAAAACCATATTATGGAAAAAAAGAAAAAATAAAATAAAAACGTCATTAAAATCTAGTATAGTCAAAAAATGATGTTAAATATCGCATTAAAAATGTTTTTGTTGAAATTATAAAAATTTAATCTATCTGAGCGTAAGTAAATTTTTATAGCGATAAATTCACATGTAAAATTTTGAACTGGAGTGCTGGCTTCGATTTGCTTTGCCAGTCGCAAAACCACCGGCCTAGAACTCCGTTTGAAATTGGCTTAACCTGCAAAAGAGCTGCAAAATATTTCAAATATTAATTTCTTTGAAAAAAAAATTTTAAAATCAAAATAGTGTTTCCTGGCAACTGTTGATAACTTTTTTTAATTATTTATTTCGTTTTTTTTACTCTTTAAAGATAGTAATTCTCATGCAAGTGCATACTATAAGGACATTAAGGAGTGATATTTTGCATTTTTACTATTCGACATTTTTTAAATGTGGACTAATAATGGCCAAAAAAGCCGTCTGAGCCGCCGATCGAGTGTTTAAATAATAGCAAGCGGTGTAATGCCAAAAAGTAGTGCGCAAAAAATATGTTCTCTCGTTGATAAAAGCGACTCCTGGCAACACTCTTGAAATTTTTTATTATTCACATGCTCATCAGCGCTGGCGCAAATCCAGAACCGCAAGTGCTACGAAGTTGCCAGCGATAAAGCATTGCATTAATGTGCCTCGCTTCGACATTAATGACACTGCCAGAATGTGTTTCCTAATTTGCATGATCCAAAGGTGATTGCAATTTTTCTAAAAAAATATTTCCACAAAAGGAATAATTTGCGAAGAAAATTTTTTTCTTTAAATTCGTGGAATGAATTTCTCTCATGAAAAAGTAGGGCTAATATACAATTTACGCACTAGGTTGAGGAAAATCAATGCAAGGAAGGAAGACTGCAGTGTTTTTTTGAAACAGAGGGTTTGTCTTTGAATGACAAAACCCCCCTGCGATAATATCCACGGATGGAAATAACTTTTGTCCACAGCTATAACTCATCTGCAGTGACAGTTTTCCCGAAATAGAGTCGCATTCATGCCGTAAAGTGAGAGCGGAAAATTTAATCAATGGGCTGTGTCCTTTGAATGAAAAGCCGCATTTGCGCGCACCGCTCCGCCAACAGACGTCGAAACTGTTCCGAGAGCCTCCGGAAGAGGCGCTTCAGAACAGTGCACGTTCAAGACGGCTCGTTAAAAGTCAGAGTGGCATTTTTTTTATTCAAACTTATCCTCCACTAAAAATTTCCATGACGACCGTGCATGTCTTATCTTATTAGGCAGGCTGGCACACTCATTGTCCATTTTTAAGTCACCGAAAGTGTTTTATTATATTCAGGAAACCCTTGGTGAATAATAATTGTGTGCTCCTCTCCAAAATAATGCTGCTTATAGCAAGCCTGCGAAGATAATTTTTATAATGATATTCGGCGGCAACTTGGCGCCACCAAATGATTAATATGTCTTGGTTAGTATTTTTCATAGAATTTTCCTGGTGAAAGGAACGTAAAAAATATCAACAAAAACTTTTGAAATTATTAAAAAATGAAATTTTTAATCAAAATATAAATATTTTCAATAAAAATTTTTGTATTCATGGTTCAATGAACAACTCTATTTCATCCTCACTCCTCACCTTCCGCTAAAGAATGCAATTTCCTGAACAAATTTCATGCGTTACCAATTTGTCAGCTGGCTGTGAAGCACGAAGTTACTCAAGCGGGAAAAAAACATAGAATAAAGTTCAAGTTATCAACACAATATAATGTGTGAAAAAAACACTATACAGGCTACAAAATTAATCAAAATTCCAATAACACTGCAAATTAAAATATTTGAAAGCCGACTTGCTTATTGGGGCGCTAGAGAGCTCGATTTTTCGCAGTATTGGCATAACCTAGAAATAGAATGGTTTTATAACAGCATGGACAATGGAACGAAATAATAAATAAGCTTGTCGCAGGAGACGCAGCAGGAAACCGAGCTGGCCGTTTGCCCAGCGCCTCTCTTGCGTCCATGTATCCGCACGGAATTCTGCACAAATGCGCAATTGTTATTTCGGCGCGAGTGCGTGATGGGAAGTCGGAATATAAAGAAGTTTCCTCCCCACAGCTCTCCTCGCGACACATTATTGAAGCAACAAACTTAACGCCTTTGCCTTAACCTTGGAGCCATTCGTGGTCTGATATATCGCAAATACTGACCCATCTGTTGATCCCTAAAGAGGAAAAGTCGAGGATTTTCGCATCTCTTGATTTAATCCTTTATGATAATTAAGTGATCACAAGTCTCTTTCTTGACCTCCACGGGCATAATTGCATAAAAAATTGGCGCCAGCCGAACAGTTACAGCTCGAACCAATATAAATTTTATTAATTGCGACGGGAAATGGCACATGCTGTTAATTTTTTGCAGACGTCAGGTTTTTCCTTTGAATCTCGTCAGCTACAATAAACAAGCCGTTCATTCCGTGAAGTATACAGAGGGGATAATAAAAAAAATGTTTAATTTGTAGCCAATGAACTTGATTTTATAGGTTCGACAGCACAAAATGAATAAAACCATCTGCAGTGCCATTGTGTCTTGACCTTTGATTCTTAAAATTGCTGGTCTGTTAAGTTGATTCTCCATGAAATATTCTTCTTTGTAATAATTTTAGCAAAGAAATAATGGTGGAAAATTTTAAATTGTGAATAGCGATCATAATCAACTATTATGGGTACATGTGATGAATTTTAAATAAAATTTGCACGGCCAAGGTTCCTTTGCGTGTCACCCTAAATGGGCATCACCTGCCATTTATTTTGTTTTTCTTTCTTTTGCAGAAACGGCGTGATAAACTCGAGGACACATTGGGAATTGAAATGATATTGGAGAGACAGGACAAAGAAATAATGTCACTTGTTTTGACGTTTCCCTTTGCAAGTGATAGATTAAGAACACATGGAACTAATCACGATGGCTGAGCCGCCCGCCAACGCCTCAGCCGCTTCCCACATACACAGATTGATCGCCATGTGCACTTTGTGTTGGCCCCCGGCATCAAAACAAGTCGCATTTTTTAAATCAGGCACTCTGATCTTTTTTGCGTACGGTCTCTTTCTTCTTTTGGATGCGC